GGCCGGGAGCGCCGGGAAGGGGCGGGAGGAAGAGGAGGAGGAGGAGGGGTGGAGGGTGTTGCTGATCCCGCCGGCCGCAGGCGAGCGGAGCGGGGGTTTAGGGAGGTGCTGGGCCGGAGCCAGGGCGGGCCGGCAGGGGATCGTGCACCGGGAGGGGCGGAGGGAGCGTCCCCGAAGCGGGGCAGGGGCTGTGGTGGTGCCTGCGGAGGGAGGAAATGGGAGGGCTTTGTGGTGCCTCCTCTCGGGGAGCCGTCGTCCTGCGTTATCCGGGGCTCTGGGTGCCGACTGCAAACCCCTGATCCTTAGGGAGAGGGCTCGCCCCTGTCTCCTTGCTGGAGAGTGCGCGTAGGGGAGGAGCTACGGAGACAATAACCAGCAATTAGGAGTTTGTCTTGAATCAGGTTAGGGAGGTGCGATCGAACAATGGACTTTTTGAAGGTTGGTGCCACTGTGGGTTTCTTTGTTGCACCAAACCAAAACAGCAGGTATAAACCCATGGAATAAACTTCCTGGTGAGCAAATCTTCACGCGTATGTTACTGTATCACCTCGTCTCCCAAGGTGTGTTTCCTGATTGACACTGTTCGTGTCCTTTCAGCTCTTAGAGGAATAACCTGGTTTCATTTCAGGCTCTTTGGGCAGCAGGGACAAGCTGCTGCTGGGGTTAGAACAGCAGTAAGTTTTCTTGTCTTTGAAAACTCTCTGACCCTTAAGCTTTTTAAGCTCATTTTCATGCACAGATACTCTTTGTGTCTAATCCAGAGATGTCCCAGGGCAAACAGCTGATGTAGCCACTTACATTTCTGTTGTTTTCTTTTTTAAATTCTGTAACAAAATAACCTTGCCAGTGGCCTAAAGTAGCATTTGACACATAATAAATGCAGATGTTGCTGCGCAGTGTAGCCTAGTCAGTGTTGGCACATTCTACAAAGTAATGAAATTACAGTTAAAATGCTATTTCATATTCAGATTTCTGTAACAGAGTACTTCCAACTTGCTCTCAGGCAAGACCTGGATCCTTGTTTGGAGAGCTAAAGGCATCCTGCAGACTAGTAGATGCATTTACAGATGAGAAAACGTACTTATTCTGATCTAACTGCAGTTTTAAGCCTCAGACACTACTAATATTAGAGTGCAACTTATCCTTGCATCTGATTTAACATTATTGCTAATAAGTTACTAACAGCTAATTCACAATTTCAGACCTTAAGAAGTCTCTGTACTTTGTATAAAGTCCTGTAATATGGGAAGTGTAATGAAAACATGACTGTTCTTGAAGGTTCTGATTAAGAATCCCATGTTAATTTAAAGTGGCTCCTACTCATTTTTAGGTGCTCTAGGAGTGTAAGAGTAGTGTAAACTCAGTTGAGATATAGTAGTTTTTGTAAAAGTAGCGTTTTGCATAACCTTTGGTGTGTACAGAGAGTGAGATTTCAGTGTGACAGATGGGAAATCAGTGCCCAACAGGTTCTAGCATATGTGAGATCTGCCTCTTTCTCATAATCTTCAAAATTATGGTGTAGGAGCACCAGAATGTGACTGTGGTGTAATGAGGCCTGGTTTGCTACAGCTCATGTGTCTGATGGTGCTCTGATTCAGAGCTGAACCACAACACTATGGGATGCAGAAGTCACTTTATTCCAGATGAAGAACATGCTGCTGACATTAATTACAAAAAACTTACTATAAAGGCTGTTTGGGAAGTGTTTTGGAGCCCGAAATACAACACAAAACCCTGTAATTAATCTTACTGAGGCCTAGTTGAAACTCTGAACATCTGCAGAGTTGAAGGGAACAGTGTTTGTCACTCCTGAATCCGCTGCTGGGCTGTTTATTTAGGTGTGGCTTAAAGCATTGAGCACCTTACTAAAGGTTAAGATTCACCTCCTGAACTTCTGGCAGTTTTTGGGTCCTATGTCTCACCCATCCAATGTCTCCTAATTTTTAGCCTTGGGGAAGGTTTTTGTTGAAGACATCTGATGCTATAGAGGTGTCCCGGGTTGCTTGAATAAATTGGGTATGAATTTAGAGCTGTGGTCTTGGAGGCTCCTGGCAGAACTTGCATCCTGCTGATCCTTACAATGCCCCAGTGAGGCTCTAATGTTGGAACCCAGGTAGGCTCTTGCCTCTGGCACATCCTGAGCATTGATCCCTAGGGAGAGGCTCTTTAACTCACATACTGGCTTTCGAATATATTTTGTTTTGAACTTTTGGCAGATCTTGTTTTCTAGAGAGAGAACTAAACTTTCCAAAAGTGTTGCTTTAAAATGATAGTTCAGTTGTCCTTCCACCTCATTAACTCTGCCCACCACAAGGTAAGTTCAGTCACAGGGGTGTTGCTAGAAGCAAGCTTTCCTCTTCAGCTCTCTGCTTTGGTTTTCTGGAAAGGAAGTCAAATCCTGTCTTTCAGATTCCCACACTGAGATGACATAATTATTACCTAATTGTGTCTGAGCAAGTTACACTGAGTGGGAAATGCAGATATTCATTCAACACTCTGGTGTGACCCAGTTCACTTGGTTCAGAGATGTTTTCAATTATTTTTTGACTTTTGTCCTATTCTGTTGTAAATGAGAGAATCTTCTTCCAATCTCATTGTTTGGTTACTGAAGTCAGCCCTTTTTTTAATATATTTCACTGTTTCAGTATTGGAAAAATGTAGGGAAGTACAAAACTAGTTTGTTTTTGTGTTTCTATACCCTGGATTCAGTAGGAAGCAGTTTGGAACTTAGTTATTGACCATTCCCATTCTTCAAACGGAAACTAAAATACCAAATGCATAGTTCTGTATCTGATAACTGAGGCCTTCATATCAAATTCAGAAAGAATACTTCATTTTCTGACTTAAAATCAGTCCGATTGCACAATAGGGCCTGGATTTGCACACAGGCACCCGGGAAGTTCTGGTGTGCTGTGGTAGAAACGGGGTTTGTCTGTGACACAGAAAATCCTTTTGGGGATTGTGGGTGTGGTTCCCGAAGTGGCTCAAGTGGGGGTTGCTGATGAAAGCTGAGGTTCCAGCCCTTGCTCTCCTTCTCCTTCCCATCTTGGCACGGTGCTCTTTGCAGCTGTCCAGATCACCTTGTTGATCTGGCTGAGGATTCAAGTCCAGCGTGGGTTTTTGGGTGAATCAGCTCACTGAGGAGGTCACTGGCAGCTCAGGAACATGCTGAGAATGTGCTCAAGGAGGGGATACCCCTTTGCAACTCAGCTGGGGCAATTCTGATGTTCCTATAGAGCATAAATATTGATTTTTATTTTTTTTTGGCTGCAAATTAAACGTATATTTTAATAGCTGTTCTTTATACCATAGATGAGAATTAAGGACAAAGACATGGACCTGATTCTACGTATTATGGAATTATTTAGAAGAGCAACTCAATTCAGCTTTCTTGGAGTTCCTCCTTAAAACTTGGTCTTGTGACTGAAGTTAATTTTGCTGTACATTTACAGCACCCAGCTATTACAGCTTTAGTTCTCCAGTATGTTTTTGACTTGTTAATGAGACAAAGGCAGATGAGGAATATTGTCAAAAATGCAAAAATACAAACCTGGGTGGACACTAACTAAAGATATGTAGGTTGTGATTCAAGTATGTTTAGCAGCACGTTGATAATGGTGGTGATAAATGATTCCTGCATGGAGCTGCTGCCATAAAAAGGCACAAATGACAGGCTCACCTAGGAAGAGTTAAGGAATCTTATTCAAGCTTAATGCATTATCTGATTCATTAGCAATAAAATATTTATTCTGGAATGAGGAAAAATACTGACAAGTACCTTGCTGGCCCAATGGATTTTCTGGCTGCATGCAACCAGCCAGAATAAAAGGAAATAATAAAATTATTTGACCTCCTGGATTTTAGGTAGGATTCTGCAGCAATCTCATGGGTCCATGTCACATTGGCAAATCTGCTTTAGTACAGCTTGTGTTCCACTGGGCTCTTAAATGCACAGGGAGCCTCTGGGAAAGGGAACAAACATGAGCAAAGCCCAGCAGAAGGCAGGTGATAAAGGGAAGATGGGCAGAGTAGAAGGAGGCATCCCAGGTAAAGATCAGAGGTTCCTGAGGGAGGCAAATGGTGTTGGAACCAGTGGCATCCCGTAGTCTGCAAGTCCAAGAGCTTTAACTTCAGGTTGCCTTGTTACCCTGCTCTCTGTACAGGAGATCCAAGTTGGTTTGGCTCTACATTGTAACACAGATATGTTACAATAGTACAGTAAAGAATTTAGCTGGGACAATTTAATTCCTCAGCAGCCAATGCCAAGAGCTTAACTGAGACTGAGGGATGAGACAGGGAAAGACCACCTAGTTTACTGCAGTTTGTAATTCACGACACAAAGGAAGAACTAAACATCCAGACAGCACTGAAATTGGTTTTTCTGCCTTAGAACCCCTTGCTCAACCAAGTTTTTTATTGTGTGTTTGATTCAAAGCATTCCAGTCCAGGTATCTGACAGTTATGGCAACAACTTCAGACTTAGGAGAAGGTGTTTCTGTTAAGCTAAATGCTGCTGAAATAATTTGGATGATTGTGGAGTGGGTGTTGATAATATACTATTTAGTTGAAAGCGTTGGATCCAGCTTAGTGTCAGGATAAACTGACAAACAAATACAAGTATTTCCTCACTCCTATAAATTATTCTCAAAATTCTAGTCTAGGATGTGGTTTTGAAGATATAGTGGTTTTGAGCAGGGGACAGTAGAGATAGGAAACATAAGGTCTTCTTAATGAATTGTGGGATGAGAAAGCAGTTCATTCATCACCTTGTTACTGAGTTCCTCTAATGCATTAAAATACATTGTTTGTTTGGTTTTTCCATGGAAGTACTGCACCAGGTAACACTGGGAAGGAGTTGACCAGGAGTGAAGGTGGCAGGTGCAGGCAAAGGGGTGGACAAACTACTAAAGCTCTGTGACAATCCCCTTGCAGGCAGTGCCACAGGCTGCAGTGGGGCTGTGCTGGGAGTCACTTCCAGGGCACTGTGCTTTTTCCAACAGGTCTCGTGGTGGTGGCCTTGGTTCCCGCAGAAATAAAGAGCTGCCAACAGAACCCCCTTTCACAGCCTATGTGGGAAATCTGCCCTTCAACACTGTCCAGGGAGACATAGATGCCATCTTCAAGGATCTCAGCATCAGGAGCGTGCGGCTAGTCAGGGACAAGGAAACAGATAAATTTAAAGGTCAGTGTTCCGACCTGGTTCGGCTGCAGAAGGAGAACTGGGAGGTGAAGATAAAGCCACTGCAATGGGGAATTGCAGTCTAAAGCACAGTTGATCTTGGGCTCTTTATGTTGAATTATGGAGGTTTCTCATTTGAACAAGATTCACTGTTCCTTCCATCATCTTAAGATACACTTGATGTAACCTGAGTGTCAGGAGTCAATATTTGCCCTGCCCTAAAAGGACTTTCTCAAACCTTGTTGGTCTTGTACGAATTCTACCAGAGCTAAAGTGTCTGACCCACTTAAGACCCGTGACCTTAAGCACTGAGTACTTACACAATCTTTCTGTACTTCAGAAGACTGCCATTGCTTCACCTCTGTCCTTTTTTAGTAGACAGGGAGAAAAAGCAAGTAGATAAACCATTCGGGCAACTTTTAGAGGATGCAAATCTAATTTCCATTGGAATTGGCCAGTGGCAAGGGACTATATTTGTAAGTTACTTTTAGGGCTGGAAAAGGCTTAACTTGGAGAGGATCTTTTTGAAAAGTAATAAATCCACTAAGTAGTGTGATGACAAAATCACACTGCTGGCCAAGAAGGTATTTCAGCTTCTTGTTTAAAAATATTAAGAAACAAGTGTCAATATTCACCTAAACAGTTGGTATAGATCAGATCAAATCTGCAATGAGAACTCTGTGGAAAAGGGCTCTTGGCATTCACGTAGTGCCCAGAGTTCTGTTTCAAGATTTGCCCCATCATTAACAGCACAGGTAAATGCATTCAGTGTTAATGCATCTTGCACTTACCACAGATGGAAAGAGAAGGGAGGCCATTAGCAGATGTGCAGGAGGAGCAGCTTCTTACAAAGGCCTTCTAAAGTGCTGTTAACTTGAGATTTGTTTTTTACAGGATTTTGTTACGTAGAGTTCGATGAGGTGGAGTCACTCAAGGAAGCTCTTACATATGATGGTGCAGTAAGTACACTTGCAATTAATTTGTGAAATCAAAGATAAACGTAAGTCTCAAAACTCCTTTGCAGCCCTTGTGGTACATCCTGAACAGATTCTCCCCTTGATTTAACAGCTCTTGGGTGACCGATCACTCCGAGTGGACATAGCAGAAGGCAGGAAACAGGATAAAGGTGGCTTTGGCTTCAGAAAAGGTGGCGGGCCTGATGACAGAGGTGACTTCTTTTTTTCTAAGTAGCTTCTTAAATATAACGGTTGTAGTTGTGTCTTCTGGTGCTGAACTAATGCTAAGACAAGGCATGCAAGTGAACATGAACGTTCTATTGCGAGGAGAAATGTGGCATATACACGTTTCTAACCAGCTGCTGCTGCCGCTCCTGAGGTGTCTGGAATTTAGCTGTGCTTTGTGTCCAAAGGCTGGATATGTTGTCACTCCTAGCCCAGGAAGTGAGACCAATACCCCTGATAATGTGCTGTGTCTTGCAGAGGACAATCATAAGACCAATAGTCTGATCTGCTACTATTTTATGATGATGTAAGAAAAGTGAGTAAGCACAAGTAGACAAATACTTATTTTGGACTCTGTCTCCAGTTCCAGTGTGAAGAGAGGCTTGGCTGTAGTTAAAGCTTGGTTGAACCAGACTCACTAAAGGTTTCCATTGAATGTGTATTAGGGAAACTTTTCTGACCATTTATTCTTGGTTCATTTAAACTGACTGTTTGTTCCTGTGCAATGGAACTTGGTAGTACTGAAGGGAAAGGATTTTCCAGCAGCATGACTTTTGGACATTGAAGGGCTGAAACATTGGTTTGGTATCCCCTTGCCCAGTCTTTCCCACAGCTTCAGATCTGAACACAATTGTGGCTTTTTTCCTAGGAATGGGAGGAGGTCCCCGAGAATCCAGAGGAGGTGGATGGGATTCCAGAGATGACTTCAATTCTGGTACCAGTATTCACACTTATACAGAGAGGGAGCCTAAAAGGCACCGAAATGTTCTCATTTTCATTTGTCCCCCTTACTGCTTTGATTGAATCTACTGTATGTGCCCACTTGGACATCCTGCAGCTGTGGTGGGATTCCTCAGGGGGAATCTTCCATTGCCTTGTAACAGACGAGAGAGTCTTGATTGTAAATTCTGTGAAAGCACCCTAAGTGACAGAATACTCGTCCAGATGTAGCCCATGGCGTCTGTTTTAAGCATTTCTCAAACATCTGGCAGAGTAAATTTCTCAATAGTAGCAGAAACAGACAGGTCACATGGAAAGGCTGATACTCTTTCAGAGCAGAGGCTTTCACCTTCTTAGGGAGATGTGACATATTACGTGTATTCCTGCAGAAACTGACTTCTCCAAAGATGGATTAGTGTTCCAAAGTACTTTTAAATGCAAAATATTCCTGAACTTTTACTGTTATAATAATGCAAGCTGCAGCAAGTGACTGAGCTTGCTGAGTGCAAGGTAGTGACAGAGCCACCTGGTTTGCTCTTGCCTTCCAGTCAGTTCCTACCTATTAGAATCCAGGGTGGCATTAACACAATTGCTTTTTGTCCTCTGAACTCGTGGGTTTGGTCCATTTTCTGATGGGGAGATGCTGGCAAGTGCAACTTTGCAATGTCTGGTCTCTGCGTGAGTGGAATGGACGATGTAGGAGCGGTGCCAAAGTGTGCCCTTGCCACCAGCATGGATTGGAAGTGTGATGCTGGAGAGAGGAGCTTGCTACAGCACTGTGCTTAACCTGCCTTTGGAGCTGAGCATTCTGGTGCCACAGCTTCATACCTTCCTTGGCAGCTTCTCCAAACGTGGATGCATTTCGGCCTGTTAAATGCTGGACGAGTGATTCGTGAGCCAAAAGTTTAGCATTTAAGTCTTAGTTGCTACAAAAGCTTTTCTTCTCAGGTTGTACAGCCCTGGATCAAGTCTTTAAAGATGGTTTGTTTGGCACTGAAGTAAGTAAGGGACAGCTCTGCAACTCTGCCAAATACTGAAGTGTAAAGGAAAATCTCAGTTGGGAACCAAACAACTTTCTCTTCCAGGCAGCTTCTGAAAATCTGAGTATATTCCCTTTCCTGTGCTGTTAAATTGAAGTATCCTCCTCCAATTCAGTGCAGGCAGTGGAGGCTTGGAGAGATACTCCAGGATAGTCACTGGTACAGACTGGAACTCTGGTCAGTGACAGACAGTTCCTGATTTTTTTGATACATAAACTGAAGAAATGTAATCAGTTTAAAATCTGATTGTTTTTTCCCCAGTCCTTTAACTAGTCTAGTAAATACCTTGTCACTTAATGGTACAGCTAAAAAGCCTTGGGGTTTTACTCTGTTCTGTATTTCACTACTCCCCAGCTATTTTCCCATTTGCTCTGCTCCTGCAGATTTCATGCTAAGGCTGCAGCCAGTGGGATCTTCTGGCTACAGAAGTACTCTGAGTACTTGTAGTGCTGTCTCTGAAGTCAGCTAATGGTGTTAACAATCTGAAGTTGCAGCTGAAGCTCATATTTTAAGCTCACTTGACCCACTCTCCAACACTCCAATAAGCCTCTAAGTGGATAAAGCACTTTCTGAACTTGGCATAGTATACTTGGTTTTAAAGGGAATCTGAATGACTCTTCTAGAACATGATAGATCTCTGTGAAGCAAATCTGTCTGCAGACAGAAGGCTCAGTGCACCACCTTGGACTGGCAGCAGTGACTTGCGAAGTTTTCCAGTCATCCAGATAAAAATCTAGATGCAAAACATTGCAAAATATGTTCTTTAAATCCACTGTCTTCCGTTTTCAGGATTCAAAGATGATGACTTCTTGGGAGGTCGGGGTAGAGGAACCCGCCCTGGAGACCGGCGACCACCCGGTGCCTCCATGGGAAGTGGTGGCACCGGTCGCTTCAGAGATGGGCCTCCCCTTCGTGGGTCTTCCATGGACTTCAGAGAGCCAACAGAAGGTAAACTCCTATCTTGTGTAATTCCCTCGTGAAGGAGACTCGTGGTTCCTGTGTCAGGTGGGAGCTCCTGCCCTTGACAGCCGGATCTTAGCCCTGGACTGTTTTCTCTTTCAGAGGAAAGAGCACAGCGACCCCGACTGCAGCTCAAGCCTCGAACAGTCGATACTCCCCTCAATCAAGTAGCCAACCCAAACTCTGCGATCTTCGGCGGAGCCAAGCCCCGGGAGGAAGTAGTAAAAGAGCACGACTGAGTCTGGGGTTGGGAGGGAATGGGGAGGCGGGAGAAAAAGCAAGACAGTACAGAGTGACTAGCTCTGCTGGAATGTCAACCCTGCAGTTTACCATTCCTGCCATCTGGTATTTGTCCTCTTTGAAACCGAAAACACAGAGCTTGTGAATGCATGTCAGCTGTTAACAAGTGGTTTTTAGTACGTTCTTGGCTTTGCTGTATCTAGTGCCTGCTTTGTGCTGAGTTGCCCTCTTCTGTTTCCTTCCAAGCAGCACAGTTGCCAGTAGAAAAGGCAGTGTGGCTGCTTCCACGAGCGTGGAGGTCTCTGGACAAAGGTGCTGCTTCACTTCTTCCTTTCTGGGTTTGTTTTACTTTAGAAGCACAGGTTAGACTTAGTTATTTCCCTGTATCGTTTCCTTTTACTTCTCAGTGCTCCTCTTCTGACCTGCATGTCTCGTTCTGTATTGCTGTGGCTCTGAAGAGGAAAACTGAAGAGTCCAGATGAGTTGAACAGAGAAATGTACAGTTCTAACCGAGCGGTGAAATGCCATTTCTGACAATTGGTGATAGTTACTGTTCACAGCAGAGCCCCTTATAAAATGAAGGGGGGGCAGCTGCCCTTTCACAGGGGTTGCCAGGAAGGATCAATTTAATGGATGCCTTGCCTGACAAGCCTTGGGAATAGCTGGTGGAATCAGTTTGGATAAAGCCTCTGCCAGCAGCCTCTTCCTGCTGGCTGTTGACTTCCAAATGGTACGATACTACTACACCTCTGAGCTCAAGGTTAGAGTGCTGCAAAAACATGCCTGTTTGAGCACAATGCTCACTGGCTCTTTCTGCTTACTTTTTTGGGTTTTACATGTTTGGTAAATTTTTAAATGAAGTTTCTACCAATAAAATTTGACTTTTTTATTTTTGTTGAAGGAGTGTATACTTTGCCACGCAGTATTTGATCGCCACTATCCCCTGTATTTCTTTGCCCAGTGGGGTACAGTTTTAGGACCTCAGCTTTTAGAATACCTTGAAAGTGGGCAGATTAGAAATCCTCCTGCTTTAGATTCTCATGTAGAAGTTTGGGTAAAAAGCATCTCGTGTTGCTGCACCTCTTTTCACTTGGAAATGTTTCTTGCCAGTGTTGTGTGGGAGGAGGGAGGGGAGGCTGGAGCAAAAGGAGAGATCATTAATGTTGAAAACCAAAACCTGAGGTGTGGATGTGTCCAGTGCATGGGAAAAACTTGGGCCCCCAATGCCAGTGGTGAGAGCCTTCAGATAGAACGGCTGGCACCCCAGAGTACTTGCAAGAGGAGTTTGGAAGCATGGCTGCCCCACTACCAGCATCACTGCTAGTGATGAATTTCTTCCCTAAAAGTTCCTGTTGTAAGTCAGAGTCCCAGCAATTTACAGAACTACTCTTTCCTTCCTTCTGCCTTTCACTTAATCTGCTTCTGAGATAAGAACCATTTGTCTAACACTAATACTTAATTTAAGACAGACATGCATTTGTGTGGTTGTATTCCAAACCAATAATTGATCTATTTACATCTTCAATGTGGAAAAGATTTTAAGAACAAATTCCCATATAAAAACTCACCTCTAGTCAAGACAGTTGACTTTTAAATGTAAAAACAAAGGAAAAAAAAAAAGAAACGAATTCCAAACACTTAACACATTCTGCTTCATAACAAAATAAATTTATGGATATGGTATTTTGTGAATGATCTTTTAAATAAAAGAAAACATTAAGTAATATTTAACATTGGTCTTTATTTGAGTCTGCTCTAGCATGTTTTTTCCCCCCCTCAGTTTTCAAATATTGTGTTAATTTGTACCAGAGCTATTCTGGTACAAAATAAGGGGGGAAGAGGAAAAGATAAAGGGGAGGAATCTAATCTAAACAGTGCTGGAACAGTGAAGTAAAAATTGTTAATGGGTGGAAATGAGCCCAAGTTCTTTACCCTGTGGTTTCAGTGTCACTTCAGTGCCATTGCTGAGGCTGCCAGGTGGGACTTGGGGGTGCTACAGCTCCTCATACTGTGTCCCACAGACTGGGTTTCTCCCAACTTTTCCAACTGACCTGTTTTCCACTAGACTTAACAGTTAAAGAGACTGTTGCCCTGTGGCTTTGAAATACGTGCTTATTGCAGGGTAAGTTAAAAGAGGTAGAGCCATGATTTTATTGAGGAAATGAGCTCTGACCTCCCTGCTGGTTTTACTGCTTTCCATGGCCTGAAAGGATGGGAAGTTCTTGCCTCTGGCTACTTAGTCCACCTTCTCTTTAGACCTCTTCCCAGAGCTTGAGCAGAGTCGCAGTCCTGCTCTGGAGCCTCTGGGTGTCCTCCCTGACCCCACCCGAGGTGTGTGTGGAAGGGCAGGGCTGGCTGGGGAGTTGCTGCCCTGTAGCTGCTGCCACAGCTGGGCTGTCAAACCCAGTGGTGGAACCAGTGATTTCACCACTGCATGGAGGAAAGGAGCCCTGATTTGTGAGAGAGGTGGCAACTGGCTCATCTTGGTTCTAGAAATCTTTTTCTCTATCTGCCAATATTGGTTTGGTCAAGGGATGCAGCCTGATCCCAACATCATTTAGTACCTTTTCTTTTCCTTTTTATAGTTCTTCATATGCAAACATTCATGGTTTCTTTGGAGCATTCCACACTGTGCTTTCCATGCAGCTCAGGGGCAGACTCCTCCAGTCCTTTTTCTTTACCTCCTTCAAAACTTTACCTGATGAACATTTTCCTCTACAGAAGCCCATCAAACCAGCTTGTGTCAACAGTTGACACAACTACATTTAATATATGGATGTGGCATTTAAGTTTTGTAGGAGGAAGCAAGATTATTTTCTCCCCATCCCACCAGCAAAAAAGCAGTTGAGGTTTAACCTGTAATGCTTAACTTTATCTGCAGCTTAAAGCTAAGCCTGGCATGGCAAAGCCCAGACCGAGCAGGTACCAGCAGTGTAGCAAACAGATCATTCACTCTCTGGCTATTCCTGTTCTCACTGAGTTATTTCTAGTAGCTGTGCAGAGCTTTCTTGGAGCTTAAACTTAGAAAAATAAATAAAACTGAAGGTAGGAAGGCAGCAGGCAGTTTTTGGAATTGGAATTGAGTTTGCTACTGTTGGAAGTGCTTTGGTGTGTATCTCCTGTTGGATTGCAGGTGGGGAAGGTGGGTGTCTGGAAGAGCTGTGGGACACTACAGGAGTGAACAGCAGCATCTGATGTGCTGCAAAACTCCCTGGCAACCACCAAAAATTAAACTCCACTGAGCTCCAAAGCCCAGGAAGGCCTCTGGGAGAGCTCATCCCCATCCTCAGGGCAGCACCCAGTGCTGGCACGGACGTGTTGCCGACTCGTTGGGTTGTGCAGGCCTGGAGCAGTTCCTGAGGGTGCTCTTTGTGCTTGTGGCCATCAAGGTTGTTCTGATGGCTGAAGAAAGAGGTGGAAGAATGTCCACACACTCAAATAATGGGCTGGTGATGGTAGAGTCATGTTAAATTCATGCCCTCAAGTGTGGCTTTACAGGCCTTCCTAAGGCAGCAACAACTTGTTCACCTGCTCCTGAGATATGCTGACACTACTGAAAGTCTCCAGTGCTGACCATGAATTTCTGAAGTTCTGCAGGTGTCCCAGGGCTGGTGATGATGAGGGACTGTGGCCAAGCCTTGCTGTCCCAGGGCAGTTTTGGATGATGCTGATATTTTCCACTTGTCTTATGAATACTGTGATAGTTTCAATCCTGACTTTGGCACATAGTCTAGTAGGAGCATTTGCTACCTGTAGTACTGGCTGCTGACTTGTCTTCAGGAAAGATGATAAAATGGTGAGAGTTTTAGAGCAAATCCTGTAATATTGTAATCCCTCCTTTTGTAGGAAAGATTTAATACTAAAGCCAGCAAATCTTGGAATGCATGTGCAGCCCCTTCACCAGAGCACTGGCGTGTCGCAGCTTCCAGAGCAGCCCGTGTCCCACTGCCTGGTTTGGGCAAAGCTGTTTGGAGTGACTTCACCAGGAATCCCCCTACTCCCCCGGGTGTGTTTTGGGCACAGGCTGTGTGTGCCAGGTTGGCTTCAGTCACTGGTTTTCTGTCCCAACCTCGTTCCTTCTCCGTGCGTGGAAGCGCCTCCTGGTTATTCCCACTGGCAGCAGGAACGAGGGTGATGAGCTGTTAACGTTGAGCATCTTGAAATCCGTGTTAAGTTTATGTTTTGCGTTCGGATGGTTTCTGTGTTTCGCTACCAGATGAGCACAAAGGCTCTGAAAGAACGGGGTTGCTCCTCTGTCCTGGTGTATTCCAGCCTAGAATCAGTTACCTTTGTAGTTCTCAAGGGCTTCTCTGGGATGGACTCTCGGGATGAAATTTAGTAGGTGTGGCTTGTCCTAAATTTTTAGAAAGGGGAGTTTCTGTGGCTGAAGAGGAATTTGATTTCCAGCTGAGACTGGAATTTTCTCATCTGGAAGCTGACTCCTTCCTCTCAAAAGCCACTTAACCACTGCAGGAATGAAGTGTATTGCAAGTGGCAGAGAGCCATCTTTTATTTGGTGCACACATTTTCTCTGTATAATCTGTAATTTATTCTGTTTTTCGTGATACCACTCACTTTAGCAGTGTTAAACCAAACATTTAGGATGGTGTAATCATATTTTTGACCCTGCTTTCTGAAAGGCTTTAATCCTTCAGTGCCAGGCACTTGACTCTCAAGCCTGATGCACATTAGTAACAGCAATATCTTGATGACATTGTGTGTTCTGGACTAACTGGAGAAACACTCCCAAAGCTCTGGGCGTGTGGCTGGCACCTCTCCCAGGTGTCAGGGACTGCAGGGGAGCTCTGCTGCTCCTCCTGTGTCTGATCACTTGGACCCAGCAGAGATGGGCACAAGAAATGGGCAGTCGGGTTCTGGTGGCACGTGCGGTGTCACAGTGCGTGTGGTGTCAGTCTGAGATCGTGTTCCTCATCTTGCTGTACCTGTTGGAGTGACTAAATCCGAGGCACTTTCCTTTTCCATCGTGGCAGTGACTCTGTTCTGTGACATCTGCTCAGTGTGACATCAGCTTCCCCCATTTCTGTCCCCTCTGCAGCGAAGTGCATCCAAGGGCTGTGAGGACTTACCTGTACACTCACCAATTCCTGTGTAAAGCTCCAAGAGTATCCCAGGGTTGATGTTTTGGGGATGTTGTTGCTGGGAACGCTGCCACCACCTTTCTGCCCAGTAGGTTTCAGCCAGGTTAGTGTTCCCCGTGGTAGGGATTTGCTTCCTGCCATGAGATTGTTTTGTTCATGTCACCGTGCTCCCAAGATCTGCCTCTTTCTTTTAAATAAACCAAAAACTCACAAAGTACCTCTATAAACCCCTTGCAAAACCTGTACTGTAACAAATCTGTATAATTTGTATCGCTGTATAAAAATTCAAATAAAAGCATTCAAACCTTCTAGGTTTTTGTGTCCAAATTTCAGAATTACTGCATCTACAAGGACGAACTAAGAATGGGAAGAAGCTTTGTGGCTCCGTAGGGATGTTCAGGATTAGTCTTTGCAAACTTGGGCAAAGTTTTGTGAAGCACCCAGGGCTGTGAGCTGACTTTCCACTGGGTGGTAGCAGCATTTATCTTCCTTCGGCAGGAACGGAGCCGCTTTCGGTTTCAGCTTGGAGAGATCCGACAGTGCAGCTGGGGCAGGGGAGGAGGTGGCACTTCCCCTTTGCCTGGGGAAAGGCTCATTCCGCTCCAGCAAAGAGAAAAGCCGTTTCTTGGTGTATACAAACATACCCAGCACTACTTCAGCAAGACAGAATATTTCCTCCAAGATGTGGCTTTGCAGTGAAGCTGCCGCAAAAATTTGGCAAAATGGGTAATTAGTGGGACGAGACACACGCTCATCCTGTCCCAAAGCTCAGGGGGTTTGGATGGTGGTCTGCTGCACAGCAGGCAATGCTTGATTCACAAAACTTGTGAGCTGGGGGAGAAAAAAGCCTGTTGGAGCTTGGAAAACCTGGTGGAGATTACTCAAACCTTCCAGTGTGTGTTTGTGCAGAAGGTCAGGTTTAGGTGATGCACCATTTTCCAGTCCTTTTTGTCCTCTGATTTCTAATCGGTGTTAGTCACAGCACCTGGTTCAAGCAAAGCCAGCTGGTCTCTGAGCAGCCCCCACCTTTATCTGAAAGGATGTAAACCAGCCCTCAGGGCTTACCTAGACCCCAGGTAAGCTGAGCAGGGTGGAAGGTGGGTTCTCATGACCTCTCTGCATCAAGAGATCTCTCTGCAGCTGGTCAGCTTTGTACCAAAAGGTAAAAAAGCAGGTTTGGTTAGCTGGGGAAACTGCCTGAAGGATTACAAACTATGTGTTTGTTATGGGGGGGGGAACAAACCTGAGCTGAAATGGGTGAGCTTTGAAAAGGACACGAAGGGTGAAATGTAAGGTGGTGTTTTCTATAACTGATTGCAGTAGCTAAAAACAGGGTGCTCCTGCCTCTTTGATCTTTTATCAGACCAGAGGTGGTTTCTAGCAGCAGGTCTAGATGAGGCAGAGGGGTTCCAGGAGGGAGAGGATGGATACAGGGGAGAGCCTGGTATCCCAAGCTGGGTTTGGTGCCTGAGGGGTCATTCTGTGTGTGTTGGAGGGGCTGGACTGGCCTTAGGAAGAGCAGAGCCCACGGCTGTGTTGGGAGGTGCTCAGAGTGAGGGCTCTCATCCTAAACCTCCACATCCAGCCCTTCTCAGGAGAAATATGAAGAAGGGAGACACACAGAGTG